TCTATTATGTCGTTTTCGTAATACTGAAACTTACTGGTCTACGACACCAACGACACAAATCGTAGAATACAAACAGCCGCTCTTAACGGCCGATGACATTAAGAATTTTAAAGGATGGATATGAATATTCCTATTCAATGAAATTTATTTTATTGTTTTTATTAGTAGTTATTACGAAAAGTAATGAAAATCACAGCCGGACATCACAAACCGGTCTTGGTTGGTTATTGGAATCTCACTTCCACTCGGCTTACGAACTTCATCCGCGTCTTATTTGCAGGCGTGAGCGACTGCGCCCACTCACTTGCGCAGGTGGAGCGCACGTGCTGGCGTGTCGTACCACGTTTGTCCCAGACCGCGCCATCATAGCGTAGCTGCGCGAGGAGATCGCGCCCGGCGCACCAAGATGGAAGGAAGAGCGGCCGCCGCCGTCGGCGGAGGCCGGCGCCGATTGCGCAAGCGACCACCTGCGCCTGCTGCGCGAGCAGCTCGTCCCGCCATCTTCAAGGAGCAGTGCGCCTAGGTGCGCACGGCCCCTCCGCCCCGCCAGTTACACCACATACCCACACCCGCACCCGTAACCAATCACCCACTCACACCCACACCCACTCTCACCACTTATCACCCACCACTCTCACCCACCCACTCACACCCCACCACCCACGCACCACCCACCCACGCACACCCACCCACCCACTCTCACCCACCCACTCACATCACCCACCCACTCTCACCCACCCACTCACACCCACACCCACGCACACCACCCACCCACCCACTCACAACCCATCCCACCCACTCACACCCACCACCACTCACACCCACCCACCCACCCACTCACACCCACCCACCCACCTCTCACCCACCCACCCACTCACACCCAACCCACCCACTCAACACCCACCCACTCACACGCCCTCCCACTCACACCCACCCACCCACTCTCACCCACCCACTCACACCCACCCACCCACGCACACCCACCCACCACTCACACCCACCACTCACTCACACCCACCCACCCACTCACACCCACCCACCCACCCACCCACTCACACCCACCCACCCACTCACATCCACTCTCACCCACCCAACCCACTCACCACCCACCCACCCATCACACCCACCCACCCACCACTCACACCCACCCACCCACCCACTCACACCCACCCACCCACGCACACCCCACCCACCCACTTCACACCCACCCACCACGCACACCCACCCACCACCCACACCCACCCACCCACCCACACGCCACCCACACCCACCCACCCCACTCACACCCACCCACTCACACCCACCCACCCACCCACCCACTCAAACCCACCAAACCCACTCAACCCACTCGCCTACCCCACCCCCTCCTCCGCACACGCGCCTCCTCCAGTCTTCTCTTGTCTTTGGTTGGGAAGGGGACTTCAAAAAGAGTAAATTCCGTGGTGGTAGCAGATATCTTGTGGTAATCCATAATATGGTAAAGGAAATAATCTCCACGAAAGTGTAATAATTTTTATTAATTATTACCCAGAGTTAACTCTCGGGAAAACACTTTTTCCATCCTCAGTGGATCTTGCCCAAGCAACGTGGATCACCTATGAATGTTCACAACATGGTCAAAAAATTATGAAAACTGTAAAACATGCTGTACATTCATGGGTGATCCACATTGCTTGGGCAAGATCCACTGAGGATGAAAAAAGTGTTTTCCTGGAAGTTAACTCTGGAAAATAATTAATAAAAATTATTAAACCTCCGTGGAGATTATTTCCTTTACCATATCAAAAAGAGTAGTTACACACATACCCACACCCACCCACCAACACACACCACACACACTCACACATGAATGGTTTAGCACCAGAGCTGCCTAACCCACAAAGTCGTGAAGTTCCTTATTCCTATGAAGTATGGCTCGGAATGATGCTCTATTTGTGCTACAGTTCTTTATCGTTGTGAATGAATGAATGCATGAATTGGCTCAAACAGAAAGTTTGTAACAATAAACCATTCATCCATTTATTCATTCACAAGTATTAAAAAGTTTGGTACTTGTACATCTGATAGTTCAGAGCCTTCCGTAAAGGAAAAGTGCCTTCACAACCTAGTGGGTTAGGCAACTCTGGCCCTGATCCACTAAACTACTTTCTACGTGTGTCGTATAAGGAAAGTCGTTATTTTGGCAAGGGTCGATTTTATAAAACATCTCCCTTCCATTATATTTAAAATTCAGAAAAAACACTTTTTTGGAGTAATTGAACAATATTAATCCATACCACGAATGTAAATGTAATTTAATTTTTTAGTAAAAACAACTCAAGAGAAGTGTTTTATAAAAACATATTTTTTCCATTTTTGATATGATTTGTTTTCGCTTTGCAGAAATGTGTATTTATCAACTTTACGCAAATAAGCGAATTAAATACACATTATAAAACATAGTGAAACTAATTTATTTCTCGGTTTGGTTTATTTATTATTAAAATTATCAGCACTTGCATTGTATAATATTTAAGGGAGAAAAAATGTCGGAGTTCAAAGAGAACTCTCAATGCACGTAAACATAGTTATCTCTTCTAGGAATTTTTAAGAAAAAAGGAAGCCAAAATCTACTTTAAGGAAATGGGAAGCACCCTCATTTTAATTTTTTTACTACATCTCTTAAGCTGAATTATACGAACTGTTTATTACAAATAAAAACGAGCTTTTTCTGGTCAGAAATAAGATTTTTTATCGGCTAGGGTCTGTAAAGACGCTTTATCAATTTAAGCGAAACAAGCGCCACTGAATTCGTTGTTCAATTTCATTTGTTTGAATTTCAATTCCAATTGTTTTTCGACTTCATTTAGGAATTTAACGGCTTTGTAACTTGCTATCCTTTACCATTCTTTGTAGCCCTCCAAAACGGGCAACGAGCATTGCGAACCGAGTAGTCACATTTAAATACTTTATTAGCTTTATTAGCTATTTAAATACTTATTATGTAATATAGGGCCAATTTCGTTGATCGATTTCCACGCTCATTTTGACTCTACATAACACAATCTCCAAGGCGTTTTTATGACAAAATACTTTTAGAGCTAAGATATCACTCTAGCATCCCGCAATGTACTCCGGAATGTATCCTTCGTGTAGGGAATTTTTGCGAGATGCATTTAATTCTCATCTTTCCATTCTCACTCTCGCAGCTTAGGGAATCAATGCGTCATCTCAGGGTACACTTACAGGACGAGAATTCATAAAGAAATAATGGAAGTCATCTCTGTCAACTTTATTTATTTGGAGAGACGGCTTTCGACGGCTTTGCCGTTATCGTCAGTCTCGCTGTGTGTGGCAGATGTCTCCCGACTTTTGACACAATCTCCCGACTTTTGACACAGTCTCCTGACTTTTGACACAGTCTCCTGACTTTTGCCACACACAGCGGCAAAGCCGTCGAAAGCCGGCTCTCTAAATAAGTAAAGTTGACAGAGATGACTTCCATTATTACTTAGTGTATTTACGTCAACAACTCCACATCAGAATTCCTACATTTCATGCATGAACCTCGTTTAACCTTTTCCGAAAAGCCCATTTACTTTACTTACTTTATAATCGGAAAAGTATTTATTTCTCAGTGGGATATTAAAGTCCATTCCCCTTAGTAGCACTAAGTGTCTAACGTTCGGTGTAGATTATGTATCTTCCACGCCATCCAAGGAAGTGCTTCTGAGCTGATTTAAATGCTTAAAAAGTCAATTTCAATAAAAATGTCATGACTAAGGAGTTCTACACGATTAAATTTTAATTTAACATTTTAATAAAGATTGAACTTAAAACTATCAAAAACAGTTGTCAAAAACATATAAAATAATGACTTTAAATTGAAAAATAATACCTTTAATTTGCTATATATTTTATGTAATAATATTTTATGAGCCAATATTTCTGTTCAGTGACCTATTTCCAAAACATGATTGAAACATATATTCGATAAGGGTTACTGTTTTTTGAAGAGGATGCCAATCAAACGTAATCAACATGTTGAGTCAAATTAAAAGTTGTAATTATTCTAAATTGACGAGTCTGGTATTGAGAAAAATATCTCTTTGAAGTACGGATTGACCACTGAACGGAAGTCGCAGTGGAGGTATATCTATTTGTTAGAAATCTCATGAGTCTCTCCCAGTAGCCGAGATGTGGAAATCTCATAGCTTCACGAAATTATTTTAAATTTAAAAATGGAATTAGTTTGTTTAATATTAACAATAGGCGCTGTTAGTGAGTTTAAGTATTTAAAGATCATTTTAATGTATAAAGATACTGACATTATTTAACGAACGTTTCGTATTCTTAATTCTTACAGTAGTCCTTGCCAATTCACGCCTATCTCACGTTCCAGCACTGCAAACTCGTAATAAACACAAACTTCGCAACTGCAGATGTCAGTCTTACATTAATACAGTGGGATCTAATTGTAAAAGCAAATATCAATAAAATGAGAATGGAGATCCTTCTCAACGGAATTTAATTCCCACCATTTTAATACCATTCTTATGCAGAAAGTGATTTTTCTTCTAAATTAAAGCAATAGTCTGCTAACGAACTTTTTTTTTAAATGTGTAATTTAAGAGAGGATGAATTACATTTCTGAAACATTTTGTTATTCTGCACCGTCGAATAATATACAAAATATATTTGGTTAACAATAAAATTATATTTTAAGTTAATATTTTGGCTTTTAAGTACATGGATAAAAAAATCAATACATTTTTTATCTATTATCAATATCTTCAGTTACGAATTATTGTAAGTTTATAAGAAATGGCTTTATTTCTAATGTATAAATATGGACTGCATGTTAAAAGTATATTAATATTGCCGCAAGCTTTAGGTTTCAAACTGGTCTGAAACCAGCTTTGTATTTGCAGCTTCAGAAGCTACTACAATTTTCTAGTAAAACTAAGGTTTGTTGGTAATTTGGTATTAAATATTTTGTCTAAATAACTGTTGTAAATTTGTGTTGCTGAACTTTGCTTTCATAAAAATTTAGCAGACCTAGAAGCCAAAGCCGACTTAAGAAGATTTTAGAACTGTGAAGTTAGTTTTATTAGGATATAACACACGTAACGTTTTTTAATTCGATTTTGTTGTTGAGTCTTACCCATCTGGAATCTTCTTATGGTCTCTGGCATTATAATTGGCGATGCTTTTCTTTCAAAAGCTTTGTTTGAAGTTTGTGTTTACTTATGAATATATTGAACCAATCGTTGAAATAGAGGAATGCCGTATATATCTCAAATAACAGTTTCCTATTATTGCTTACAACAGTTTCTTTAATGTTATTTATCTTTATAATATTTCTCGTACGTTTTGCCATCTTCCTTCACAGTTTCTGTTATGCCGCACGCTTTTGCCTTAGCAGCTGATTGTGTGTTTGTTTTGCAAGTAGACACTTCACGTTGTGTCGCTCTTTATCAGTTTAGGACACATGAACATGGCCCATACCCAAATTGGACAGATGAAGATGATTATTTGGGGTCATCATGTTAATATTTTGCGGATGTAATAAAAGTCAAGGGTTCCTTTTTTAAATGTTTTCCTTGAAAATAATATACACGACCGTTAATATTTTTAAAAATATTTAACGGGGTAGACGCATTATTGACAAAGACATATGATACCAACGTCTTTATTTTTGAACTTTCTTGGGGTAATTGCAGACGAAAGAAAACTATGGCCTACATTTGTGTAAAGTTTCATGTTTGTTATTTGTAAGTTTATATGAAATAGGCTTAGTGGGTCTAGCTAGAATAGGTTGGTATTTTCATACGATGAAATGGTAATCCATGAAATGGTAACCTACATCTACGTAGCCTACATCTACGTAGAAATTAAGCAGATAGGAAACTTGAACAATGTCCCTTATTTGAAAAATTGGTTTTTCTCTTTGAATAGTTTTTGCGTGAACATTTTCTCTGTATGTTTAGTATGAAAGAAGTCACGAGAGTATGATTGATGCCAAAAATGTGTGATTAGATCATACGCGAATCACAATTAACTCGCTAAAAATGAATTCAATGAATGACAATCATCATTATCAACACTAATGATTGACAATCATTATATAATTATTTCAAGCCCAACTTTTCCAAGTCAACAATACGATTTACACCATAACTAAACTTCAATTGATTTTTCAACCGAACGTCAATGATATTTCTATAAATTACTTGAATGACATTGGTTCTAAACCCTGAACATGTTCGACTAGTTTTGAAAAATTACTTTATGAGAACGTATTGATCAAGTTAATTTTCAATTATTATTGATTAAATACTTATTTTTTCTTGGCTCCTTGGTTTTGTGAAAGCAGATCACTATTCTCTCAATCTTTAACCATCAATCATTTGTGAAATAAATATCGACTAATTGAACATTCACTAGTTCCATAACCTAAGTGAAGTCGATAGAGGAAATGATAGACTCTGCCAGAGCTCGGGCGTACGAGTCAAACGATCACGCGACATACTCTGCACGATGGATGCCATAAACGCGTGACAATACACGACTTCTGAGTGCTACAATCGAATATTTCAACGACAAATCAAACACGTTTAAGGTTTACAAGGAAAAATTATGTAGCATAAAAAGAATATGTTCAATTTTCCAAGGTTGTTGAGAACGGTGAAGTGTGTGCAGTTATTGCCGCTCACAGTGGAGGGGGAGGGAGGGGGTGGTAGTGGTGTTAGGGATATGGATCTGCGTCGTGACGTGGGTCCTGCAAGAGACACAGGGCTAATTACCCCCTTCTTCCTCCTCACGTCCGTTAAGCTGGCGAAACCACTTCAGTAGAAGCAATTTTCTTCATAACTAGAATTTTGGACTTTTCAAATACACAGAATATATTTTTGTGTTAAAAACAAAAAAACAAACATGTTGTTGGCCTTTGTTAAATACGAAGGCTCTGAAACAGTTCACGATATCGAAATGCAGTTTTCTCTCAACAGTGCGGACTAATAGGGCAAGTAATATGCTGTACATATATTGTTCGTAATATTTTTAGTTTTACGAAATTTATTTTAACCATCTGCGGTTTATTAAATAAATCTGTTATATTCTTCTCACTAGCAACGGATACGCCATGCAAAGAGGAATACAATGATGCATCATTTGTTAATGTTTTGACAATATTTTGACTAAACAACAAAACTTCCTGACATGTGATTTTGAATTAAACCGACAAACTTTCCTATAGTAGCCCTTGCGACAGTCGCCTTTAGGGATGGTGGCCTTCGCACTACACTTACGGAACTAATTACCATAGCAGTCGACGCGACCGGAAACACGAATAATCAATCTGCATTTTAATCTACTGGAAATATTAGGAATCAGCTAATTACTAATAAAAATTATTTTGCTGCGAGTAATTCAAAATTGTGAACTTTGAAGTTAAATACTGCTTCACCTTTTTTAAAGTTATACAGTCTGCTTCGCGGCGCCGCCGCTCCTAACAACCTCGTGCTTCGCGGAGGCCAGACGTGTTCGTTTAGCCCAGGGGCACTGCGGTGCTAACGACGGGGAATTTTATGAGAGTCCACCCAACAAAAGGGGAGGTAGAAGGCTTTATATCTTTATGTTGTTTGTATTGGAATTTGCTGCCTACGTTATGTTGATGTAGGAAGTTATATTTTCGGAACGAATTTTAATGAAGTTTGCAGAAATAAATCTTGAAGTCGGACAGTAATAAATTGTTGAAGCTTCAATTTTAATTGGAAATCTGTCATTTGAAATATAAAATGAAAATTATAATTAGTACATTTAAAGAAAAGGTTAAGGAGGATTTAACATTAAAGCTCACAATTTTGAATTACTAGGAGTAAAATATTTTTTATTAGTAATTAGCAATACTGATTCCCAAGATTTTCAGTAGATTAAAATGCAAATTGATTATTCGTGTTTCCGGTCGCGACGACTGCTATGGTAATTAGTTCCGTAAGTGTAGTGTATGTTATATCAAGGGAGGAGCAGTGTTCCTCCCCCGGTACTACGTGAGATCCGTCGCCGATTTACACGTCAGCTTGCCGTGTTTTCCTCTTCAGGTATCTCTCCCAGAGAGGCCCTGCCCCAGCCCCAACTTTAAGCTCCCGGCTGGTGACCCAACATGAGTGATATTGTAGTGAGTGAGTGTGTGTGTGTGTGTGTGTGTGTGTGTGTGTGTGCGTGCGCGCGCGCGTGCGTGCGTGCGTGCGTGCGTACGCTCTTGCACGTATGTGTAAGGGGAAATTATAGGATATGGAAGAGGGAGGAAAGATCGCGTGCTGGCCGTAACGCGTGTATAAGGGTACTGCTCTAGTATTCGTCTGGCATTGCTGGAGAAACCACGGAAAACTACCGATCAAAGCCGCCAGCCAGATTTCTCCCAAAGTCAGCAGCAAAATTCAATCTATCTTTCAGTTATTGCCCTGAGCAAACTCAGCGTGAAAATATAGAAAAGAAAGTGTGAGTGAAATGAAAACTTTCACAGAATTCGTTTGTTTGTTAAGAGGATACTTTATTGCAGAACCAGCAAGGATTTTGTTTTCTGAAAAGGGACAGTTTGTTTGAAAGTTTGGGCACTAAATTTTAATGACAAAGAAGGCTGATTACATGGTCATGAAAAATGTAAGAAGGTTTTAGAAAATGAGGAATGAACAGCTTGTTATGTAACAAACAAAATAAAGACAGACAAAAAAGTTAACCAGAATAACTGGTGACCTGTGGTTGATGTGCTTTATTTGATTGTATTGAACATTCATTTGACACTTTTCTCCTTCCAGTGAATTAAGAGCACTTCCAATAAAGTGCACATCCATTTGAGTTTCTTATATTTTTGAGCATATTTCTTATTCATGTTTTTTTTTATTTTTCATAGTCTTGTTTCAGATGAAACACCTTACAGCATGTATTCACAAATGTAGATTTTAATTAATGAAACATAAACTAATCTGTACTTAAAACCTCCATCTAAATTTCCCTTCTCACACATACTTGCTTTATTCACAAATATTCAGGAAGCTTTTATATAATTGATTAAAATATTATCTAAAAAATAAATAAAACACATCTAATTTTAAAATTTAATGGAAATGAAATGACAAATCAAATAATCACTAGCTGATTTTTTAAAAACTTATTTAATATATCTGTAAAACTTCACCTATGACCTTTTATTACGAAGGAAATTGAAAGAATTTGATAAAATTTATGTGAAATTAATGTAGAAAATAATTAATTTTTTATGTATAGGCGCCGACTGATGGAGTTAGATGGTCATCTTCTATCTCTTGGGGCTGAAGCTGAAAGACAACATCTTTTAATTTCCCAATGGGAGTCTCAAAACAATAAACTTTACAAGAATAGTAGATCATCAAGTAAACGATGGATGCAAAGTCGACCAAGCACAGATCCAGACATGGATACAGATAGAGGTCAGAATGAAATTGAAATCTCACAGTTGTGTTCTAAAAAATTAATAGTTGTTAACTTTTGAATTAATTTCTTTCAGAATGGTCTGATGGGGAATCCATAGATAGTTCCTTACAACAGGCATACACTGAGCTTTCATACATAGAGAAAGAGCAAGAACGGTACGCTGAAATGAGAGCAGAAACAGAAAAGAATTTAGAAGAATGTAGAAAGCAAGCTATTAAACTGGAAAATGTGAGTCACCTACTTGAGTTGCTACCTTAAATAAGCAATCAAGGAAGGAATATTTTGTGCACAATACATTTTTCTCCTCTTGTACTAAGAATTCATACATTATTTGTATTCTATTTGAGCTGTGAAACTAACTTTCATCAAAGTGTAACTTCTACATACAATCATATGAGTCACAATTATTGAAAAATTTTTTGCAGGAGCTACCATCACAAATTAGTTCAGATGAGGAAAGGGAACTTCTTGGTCTCATGTGTAGGGTTCATGAATTGGAAGTGGAAAAAATGGCTTTGCAAAGTGAGAGATTAATAAAACAACATGAGTTGCGAAGAAGGGACATGGTCATTCTTCGTTTTGACAGACAACGCCAACTGTGTGAAGAAATAATTACTCGACAAAGGCAATTGATGGAAGGTATTTGTGGATTACAAATAAAGGATACTCCTAAATTAGATATCCTAAATTATTGAATACATTGTAATAAGTTATTATTCCAGAAGGCTGTGTATCTCTTCCTCCTGATCTTCAAGAGTTATATCGACTTTATCAGAGAGAAATTCATGCCGCCACCTACAATGATGCAAGTCCTAGCTACAATGTAAGTGAGACTATTGAAGTAATATATTTATTTCATTTTTCAAAGTTATACAAACTGGGTTGAAATAATATGTAAAAGATAATATAATACTAAAAAGTGATAAATATGAAAAAATAAAATTTGTTACAATAATTTATTCATTAAAGGCATGTGCTCAATTTTTAGATTATTTGTATTGTTTAAATTATTAAAATTCATGAAGGAAAAGTATAAATTAAACCTCTTAATTTAACATATCAAATTTGAATGAGCTGAATAACAACAAATGGTTAAATGGCGTAACAAACAAATAAGCTGATTTGTTGTGAAAAAATGGTACGAGTGAAAACTAATAAATTAATTTGCTTTTCAAATGTTACAGAACGTTCAATAAAACATTTATTCAACTTGATGAGTATTCATCATTAGTTAGGCAGCTCAATGTAAACCTTGCTAGTGCATATAAATCTAAAATGTTATATAGTTGACATTAATTTAATTGTTGTAGATTGTTACCATGAAATTTAATCAATACTACAAGATTTAAGCTATTAACATTTGCAATTGGTTTTTAAAACACAGAAATGAAATGTTGTCGTTCCTGAAGAAACATTGTAACATGTTGTATGTAGTAATTAATGTATACAAGTAATGAGTTGTTCATTGCATGATGACCATGAATATGAATTGTAGGATCCAAGAAATTGGCAGTAACATATTATATTCACACATATAATTTATTTTCATGCATTTTTATTAATGAAATCTCTATATCTTGCAGCCTGGCTTTCCATTCAGCAATTATACACGTGATAAGGACAAACTTCCTCCTATCACCCAAGTGTAAGCAATATACTTGTTATATTTTTAATATTAGATTGCATAAGTTTCTAATATAAGACCTGCAATTTAACATATGTTTTTCTTCAGGCCAGAACCACTATTCCACAGATCTATGAGATTCCACAGAGATCCTGAAGCAAACATGAGGCACCTTGAAAGTGACATGAGCCTACGGACTCCCAGCAGGTACTAGAGTTTCTGCATCATCTTAGGGGCTGTCCATAAATTATGTAACACAGTTTTGGAGTATTTTATCCTCTGTAATGCACCAATAATGTGGGCTCAAAAAGGGAGATCCTTTAATAATTGTGTAGTGTTTATGACAATAATTATGAAATACCTGTCCCCTCCATTTTCAATAAGTAAAAATAAGTTATAAAGCAGTAACAATGAGTTTTATTAAATTTTTTATGTTATATTTTAAAATTTATGGTAATTTAAGTCATAATCAGTTGGCAACTGCACCTAACAATATTGTTGGAGACAATTTTTGAGGTAAGGGAGGATATGTATGTGAGAAAATTTCTGACAACGAGCCTTGCTACAGTCGTCATGGATGATGCAAGGGCCCTGAGTCCATTGCAGCAATTTAATAGGATTTTAGCCTACTAAATATCAATTTTGAATATTTTCTTCATAATCTATGAGATTTAATGGATATACTATTGATGAAAAGTTACTTATGTTTTTTACAATGATTTATACATTGTAATTTTTTAATTTATTCATATTTTCTAATTTAATTTGTCAATATTTTAAAGATTTGGTATAAGACTGAATAAAAGTAATTATTTCAGAAATTGTTGGGAAAAAAATCATCATTATGTATCACGAAACTTTGATCACCTTCTACCCCTATGTAACACAGTGTAACACTGCCAGTATTTAGCTTTGTATAATTTATCATCACTGAACAATTTATTGAATTTTCATTGAACAAATTGCACAAATGCAAAGTTAAGATAAGACATAATGTACATTTTTTTGTATATTCAATGTAACTAGTGTAACTAATCTATATGTAAAAACTTTTATTTCAATTTCAACATACAAATAAAAATTCATTTATTGAAGCAAAATAATTTTATGTAATGAACTCAAGTTTGGACATGAATCATATTGTAATTAAACTTTAATACCTAAATTCAATAGATACTGAAAAACATTTCAATACCTACTAATTGCAGTATTTTGCTGGAAGGATATTTCATTTATGACATTTTGGATGTAAAATGACTGCTAAGCTTACCAGAATAATAGGAAGCATGTTTTTGGCTTTTAATGATTTGCAAAGGTAATGTTTTGAATTTGTTCTGAAATTTTTTGTATTCTTTAAAAACAGTGATATGTAAAGTTAAGTAAATACTATGCATTTCCGAGATCAGGGTTGTATAAAAAAAAGGATTGTGGTTGTATAAAAAAGTTCATGTTCAGCTCCTTGCTGAACATGAACTCTTCCCCCCTCCCCAAAATTTTTAGAACAATATTTTTGGAAATTTGTGAGCTTGAATGAATGTGTATATTTATATAAGGGGAATACTCCTTTGGATATGATGTGATCAATACAAGGTAATTGTTTTGAATAAATCAAACAATTTATAGAAAGAGTTGATTGAGAAGGATATATCTCCCTTTAAATCCACTCTTATAGTTGGTGTTATTTTGTAACAAAATACCAACTTTCCTCACTGCATTATTAATGCCTCTATATATATTTCCAGTTCTTCTAATTGAATAGAATTTTCTTCACAGTTCTGCTGGCTCTGAATATGGACCTTCTCCTCTTCCACCTATTCAAGATCCATTAGGAGGTCGCCCTGGACAGTTGGAAACCAATCCTGCTGCAGCAGTATTGTTTCCTCCCATAGGTTTGTCAAATGCCCCTCAAGAACACCCAAGGTAATGCATCTTCTTGTAACTACAGCACAATTTATGTACAACAATAATAAAAAGCATATACAAGTATTGTCATTTTCAGTCTTCTTTTTCTCCTCTAGATATTAGACCTATTGTGCTGTTAAAATACATATTGCTTCATCTTTTTATCTAACAATGCTTATATTTTCCTTTTGGTTTATAGATGAGAATGTGCTTAGGAATGCAATTATTTTTTGTCCTTGTTATTTGGTCTTTTATTTATTTCCATGTCCTTTGTTATTTTTCCTGAGATTTTCAATTTCTTCATTCTTCAATAATTTTCAACATTCTTCTGGATGATGATGTTTTTCAATTTTCTTTTTACTTCAAAGATCTTCTTCAGAAACCTTACTTCAGCTGCCTGAAGTCAGCCCTAGGATTTTTTATTTAGAATCCACGGCTTCATATCCATGTAGATCACAAAGCATTGCCATAACTTTGTAGAATTTTAATATTTTATCTTTGCTAACTTTACATATAATTAAATGTTCCCATACACAGAAATTTCAATTGTTCTGTCTTTCTTTCAACTTCAAGTTCTCTAAGGTATGGGGGCTCATTCCCTAGAAATCTAAAAGTATTAACGTTTTTCATTGTCTTATCTTCTAAAATGAGTTTACATCTTAGGAATTGGGAACTTTGGATTGCCATGAACTATGATTTAAATATATATATATATATATATATATATATATATATAAATGGCAGAGATATACTGTTTTATACAAATTATATAATGCACTCTATAGGCTATCTTTATAGTCAACAACTAAAAACCTGGTCATCTGTAAACAAGAGTTTTAAAACAATTTTTTTCCATTTGAAGTTGCCTTCAGTAATGAAAGACTCTACAGATAATTAAATAGTAAATTAAAAAGGTGTTCTGTTTTGTTTTCATAAAATATTAACTTAATTAATTTTAAGTCAATGAGAAAGCAGTATTTTATAACCTTTTCTTTATGATCTTCAAAGGTCAAGTCAAACTACTAGCCATGTGTCTAGAAGTCCATCTCGTCTCCCAAGACCTCGTGATCAACACAGGTAGAGCATTTTTCTTCCAACAATTCATTATATTATGTGTTATAAATAAAAACTAATGTGAAAATTCAAAGAAGTTTTGAAGAAAATAAAATGTTGTGATGTTGTTCTAGTGGTCGAGGTTTAAGGCGTGTGGCAAGTGATGAAAACCTTTCCTCGGAAAAGGTTAGTGGAATTGCCTACCAACATTTTAACCATGATCAATGCTAATTTAGAGTCTTAAAATTAATAACACAATTTATTTCATAATATGTTTCACTATGATTGCTTTCATTTTACAGCCTGCTCGGCCAACTGTGTGGCGATATTGACTTGTGTGAATAATGCAAGACATTTTTATACACACTTGAAGATTGTATACAATAAAAGAAAATTAAATAGGAATAATAGGAAGAAAATGAAGAAAGAAGACTGTTAATACCACAGAAAATAAGATTAATTTATATTACTGGTAATTTGTGGAGTGTTAGTTTGACTGATTGCATCATGAACATGTGATGAACTACTGCTTTTAAAGAAAAAAATACAACAGAACTTCCTTCTTAAAGTTTGTAAAGGTTCATGTAGTAGTGAATTTCAAAGTTCATGATGAAATATTGAAAAATAAGGATTTAATATTATCTTTCTCATAACAAAATTTTCCTTTAATTTACATACCTCAAGGGTTTCAGAGTTTCAGGAAATAATTTTCAATTACTTTTACTGTACATGATTGTACATTGATAAATTATTTTACAAAAAAAAAATATTGATTTTTTTGTGTGTGGGCAGAAACTGGAGATTGTGAAACAGGGTGGATCCAGAAAGTACTGCTGGAGGGTCAATTCAAGTTTGAACCCCCATAAATAAGATTACATTGAATTGTTAGCTTCAAATAAAAGAATATTTGTGTGTATTCACAATGGAAATACTGCTTTGGATGTGATATGATCTCTTTATGGTAATTATTTTGAATAAACTGAGTTTAAGGACAAAGTATGTAGGAGGCGAAGGGGGATGGCTCCAGAGCCCCTCCCCGCTTCCTCTTGAATCCACTTCTGTTTTCAAATTGGTTTGCAATTATTTATTGTTTTGAATCAAAACACTACTTTTCAAAATTTAATAATATTCCTTTTTGAAGAATATTATGCTGAACGTTGTATTTTTAAAACCTGTTTTGGATTTTAGAGATAGATTGCAAATATGCTTCTAGAAATTACAAGAGAGCAAGTGAGAAACAACCCTGCAGTTGCTTTCTTAAAAATTCCTGTCTTTCCTACCGATGGGTAAAAGAAATATTAACACTTAGCAACTCTTCCAATTTTTGAAATTGGCATTAATTAATTATATATTTGAGTGACTGAATTACAAAATTGTTCATTTTAGTTCTTAAAGAATGTAGCATTTTTAGAAATTTACAAAAATATAATTCACTCAAATGCAATGTCTAAATCGACACTTTTGAATATTTTCAATCTCATTAGAAACATCCTTTACTATATTAATATTTCCAATCCGCTTTTGCTATATCTTCTGGGCAAAAATGGAGAGAAAATTTAACATAATTGAAAATAAATGCCTCAAAATGCTTGAGAGGATAAACAGCTTTAAAAGATAAATTTGAAAAATTTAAAACTAGAGAAAATGACACATTCATCAAAATAAACTTCCATGAGTTGATTAAAACCATAGATGTTACTATGAATGCGTTATGAAAAGTAAAACATTTAGCTATAGTCATACTTTTCAGCAGTGTTAGGTTCTAATTACTATTAAAAGGTGTAACTTCTCCTTACTTGCAGGAAAAAGAAAGTGTATTGAATATTTTTCATGCTACTGTATCTGTCTTCCAAAAATGTGAAAAAATTCCGATAGGAAATGCCAGAAAGGAGAAAAGTGTAAAATGTGTACAGCAATGTGTATAATTTCATCTATTTATTCCAATGACTACAATGCTCTGTGATATGCATAACCAGAAAAATAAAAGGATTATAATACATTTTTCTGCAAAGCACATTGTAGTCATTTGAGTAATTAGACAAACTAAATTCAATATTTTATTAATGTGATGAATTGTTATTGTTGTTGATACATCACTTGTGAGAAATTCATTTTAAAATGAAAATAATGTTTTGTTATTTGTATTTTGGTTTCCCTATTGTGTTATGAGTTTCAATAAAATGTGATATCGTATCAGTTTCATGAATTCTTATTATTTTTGGGAAATAATTTTCATTATTAATAATTTACTAGACTTAGGCAGCCTTTGGTGTAGTGGTTCAACTGCCCACTTTGCAAGCCTGCTGGTTGCTAGGTTTGATCCAAGACAGTTCCAGGTGGAGCTTGAGGGGGACACAGAGGTTTTCTCGAGGTATTCCCATTTCTCCTGCCAATGTATGCTCCATATATCATTCTCAACCCTACCCTGTCCTATCATTAACCATTATTCTGCTAAGGATCCAAGGGTCACGGTGGTGTATCAGGTCTAGGTGATAAGTGAGGAACTACCTGAGAAGGGCATGGGTTATTGATAGGTAGGGTCCCAGCCTTTTCAATTAGAGCGAGAGGCGGGTAATGGTGAGGGAATGTGGGATGCCCCCTCCCAAAACACAAGTTATGGATAAGAGGGAGTGGATGGAATGCCAGGCGGCACAAGGGGTGCAGCGTAGTTAAAGCTGGTCCCTGAGTGGAAAACCAGAGTTTCTAGTTAATTTTTTGATTGACTGTCCTATTGAAATATAAATGATTATGAAATTTTATAATACTGATTCGTTTCTATTCCTATAATTTTTACATTATGATTATCATCCAAAATATGTTACTAATAATGTTATTTGTATTTCTTATCAAATAATGAAAATTTTAGGTTTCTTTTCTGTATGTCATCAGTGAAGAAAGAATACTGCATAACTGATATCCCTGACATTCCTGATGTGACCATTTAATAACAATTTTTATTGTTAACTTACATTTCCCCTGCTTCCAAAAGATACTCACAGTACCAATTGAAAAACAAAAAAATTGTCAAAAAGTTAGCTACCTGGTTTTATTGCTTCACCAATGATACCTACTATTAATACATATTTACAATATTTATTAATAGTATGTATCATTTAATACAATGATACATATTTCATTCAATTGATTTTTATGCAATCTACACTTCTTTAATTTTTAATTAAATTGCATTAATTACCTATGTTTATTGATCCATAGAATCCTCAACTGCTGAATCTGTTTAATTGATTCAATTGGCGTGATTGTTGACATGATGAATTATAATTCTGTGAATGAAATTCATTTCAATTATGATATTTAAACATTTTCTTAAAATAAAGCTATTCTCATTAGCAAAATTGTATGCATGCCAGTGGTATTTCCATCATATATTGTATTGTAGGAAGTAGTATATTTTTTATGTTTTCCAATTTTGTAAGGAGGTAGCATTATTGAATCAGCATCACTTGTAAGATGTCTAGCCAACCAAAATAAAAACAATATTGTTTCCATAGATGCAATTAATAAGTAAATAACTTAATTTCTTGTGCAATATTAATTTTATGTTACAATTTTTATTCATCTTGACTATCCCAACGTTTTTCTCTCTCTATATTTTATTTTGAGTTATATTAAGTCTTGCAAAAAAACTTTTTGCATGCAGCTAAAGAGGAAGTTGTAGCAGTTACGATAAAACAGAATGCCACTACTGGAACTCTTTTCTTGAAAAAATATGTAAGGTTTCTCTTGCAAGAATTATTCTCTTGGTCTATTTAGAGATAATAGATGAAATGTCACGAAGATAGTAAAAGAATGATAAGAGCAAACTAACATATCATCAGATGAATTACATGGTGAGAGAAATGAATGAATGTGATGTGCATTCAACAGCAGATGTATAGAGGGAGATGATCTGCCGAGTGACTTTGAAACAGGGCGAACCAACTAAAAACAATAATTTTAATGGAAATACTTAATGTGAACTAAATTATAATCTCTTAATTTGAGTAATAATACTATAATTTAATTAAATTATGATTTTTCTTAACGTTTTGACGTTATGAGGCTGAAATTGAGAGCACGGTACAACTTCAAGCAGTTTAAACCGGCACTTCGCACCGCTCGGCGAAGGGGAAATCCACAATGGAGGGGACGAGGGATGGTTAGGGACTTATGAGGGGAATCTTTCGGTGGGGAGGGAAACTGAGCAATTAACGTAGCTTACTTACAAACTTATAATTAGCAAAGTGTGGGTGATCTAAATAAATTTTAAAGATTACACCACTGAGATAATTTTATTAGTTCGGTCATGAACGTGACGGCATAAGTTAGGGGAGTATCTTGACGGAGCTCCGTCATCAAACAGTGCTGCGATCGTGGTGGCGTGTACTTGTGATTGTGCGTGTCGGAGTAGCTGTCGAAATGGTTAGCTATGTTAATGCCTTACGTGTCTTGCGCTCTTCTGATTCTTTGTGATTCGTGTTTTTGAGTGTCGAGTGTTTGTGCTACGGAGGTGAGAATTGATTGTTTTTCTACGCGTTGTGCCGAAAGGGGTGTTATTATAGGCTATGTTTAATTGGCCGACAGAACGTACAGTTTGATTGCGGCAGAATTTACATGTTGTGTGCGTAAGTGCCCGATGAGGTTAACCAAACGAAAGTTGTGTGGTCGTTTCGAGTCGAAGTTCGGAAAGAAAGGGGCCACTCCTCAAACGCCCAAGTGTTTTGTGCGGAAGGTGTCAAAACTGAGAAGTTTTTGTCGTTCCTTGAGGGAGTCTTCAAGCTTTACGACACGTGGAAGTCTTCTATCGGTAAGTTTTATTCATTTCTTTCGGAGCTCTTAGCGTAATTCTCGAGAGGTATTGAAGAAACTCACCTCCACATTCAGTCTTACTACTAAATAAACGGAGGGATCGCACCTTCTTAAGAACTAGCTAAAGAGAACAATGTTAGAACAAAACAAGAATTATTTATTTACAAATTATTAATATATATTTACAGAACACAGTTCATTTTTTACTTAGATCGATTGATAATTAGTAAACTCGACGACGATTCTCTGAGCTCTTATGCGAAATTTTGTCGTGAATCATTCGAACGACAGATTCCACACACCATTTTTCTTCCGATAAATTAATCACTATCAATATTTAGCAATTTTCTTATTTTCAATTATTTTGTGTTTCTCGATATTTTGCAATTATGTTTACAGGTTTTAAGTGATGTATAAAATAAAACAATGAATACAGCTTCTTTACCACCTTCGTATTCTCATTCGCATTTGATGAGAAAATACTTTTATTTATGTGTATTATTTATCAATATGTTGATTGATATACTATATACCCGACAATTTCAAATTAATTTGAGTGGACTTGTGTATGTTTCAAAGTATGTAATGATGGAAGTGATAAGCTAATTTGCCCATTATTTTGTGTGAGCAGGAAATTACATTCTTACATCGCGTGACTCGAACATTTTTAGACGTGTTGCAGTCGTGCTCTCATTGCTGCAAACGGATATCAAATGATGAATTTACACAACATTATGTACAAATATTAAACAGGTTAATGTAAATAAATACTAGTTGTACTAAAAATATTACTGGTCTTATATACATTGTTATTTGACGTGATGTGAATTGGTTAACTTGCGCGTGAATTGCAGAATTGATTTATGACGTAGTTACCTCTGAGTTTGACCCGGACTCTCTGGGTTCCAGAAGTAATCTTCGATCTCCGGGTAAATGTGGAAAATCTCGGGATAAAAAGAGTAATTAAATTCCTTGTGAAAAATATACGGAATTGTTTAGTAGAAGAAAAATAACTCTTATTTCACATTAAAATTCTTTCCCTTTCATGAAAATTATTATTACAACAAATGATCATTTTCAATATACAAAATGTAAAATTCAGCAATAAACTGTGCGAAAAACCGATGCATCTAGAGAGCCGCTATGATGCGATATACTGCAATTCCAGCGCACGAGTCTCAGGAATTTTTTCTCTGTTGGATTCTCTGTAGGATTACTACAATATTTACATTTCGCGTCAGAAATATGTACAACACATACAAATAGAAATTAAGATATTGGTATCTTGATTCTACGATCTAGAATCACATTATTTATGACTTAATTTTTGTGACTCTCACCTCCGATTCAAAATCTCACAGACCAGCACTAGACGAAGAATATTTTGAGATGAATTATCTATAGTTACTTTTACGCTTTGGTATTTTTAGTATTGGCTTAGATGTTTCTTTTCAAAACTTAGTGAAAAGTTGGGAAAATGTTAAGAATTCCTGACATATTTCTGGTATTGTTCGGTAATGTTCATTTATTGATTACATTTAAGACCTTGTACTTTGACATGCATACGTAACGTTTACGGTTACGCTTTGGAGCTTTTTATTAACAAAAAAGTAAACTCGGGAGATTATTAGAAAGTTATTATACCTTGCCATTAATATTTTTCAGTCATGTTTGTAGTTCGCTGAATTTTATCCTATCCCTCACAAATTTCTGTCTTAGCAAGGCCGATTTATGTAAAATGTCATTGCTTAAAATAGCTCGTTCTAATGTCTTTAAAGAGAAACTCTTGATAGAAAGACGTTTTCTATCCGTTGTCTGTCGATCACAGCTGTTTCGACAATGAAATAATAAATTTGTAATCTTATTTATAACAACTTATAATTGCGATACAAAATAATATCGAAAAACAACGTTGCACTGAAGAGTAATAACACAGCAGATCTGAACATATAAATGGGTCTAAGCTTATGACTAGGGCTGTGATTTATATGCAATAACAGCGAAATATGCGCGTATACAAGGTACTATATGCCATTAAAAATATGCGAAAAAGTGTAATGTAATGTGTAAGTGTAAATATAAATAAGAAGTGCAATGTGGAAAATGTTTGCAGCAAAAGAAGATACAGAAATAATATAAATTGTTACAAGCTACAAACATGACGTCAAGGACTTAATTTGGAAGAACACTAATTTCTTAGGAAAATTATGGCAGATGAAGTTAATGAACATTTCACAAAATAAAAAAGAATATAGGTATGGCAACAAAAATATGACTTTCTCTCATTTCCCTATAAATTCTCTTTTAACACCTCAACGTTTGCGCCATGTGTGGGCACACATAGGCGCTCGGCGGATGTATATTTCATTTCGACTGATTCTGCCGATGACAGGTCTTGGCTTGCTTCTCGGGCGACCTCGTAGAAGTCAGGCGAGCAGCAAAGCTGATCCGTGGCTATGGCAACGTAAACAAATCCTCGGAAGCCCACTGCTTCAGAGCAGGCCACATGATGTGCCATAGCAAGTGACAAGAGAACGCGGATGAGGGGCGAAAATGCAACAAAAATATGACCCTAATTTGCAAATATCTGCAAGTCATGGCGATACATGCGCAAATTTAAGAAATAAAGATAGTTTAAATTGATTCTAAATGGCTCAAAACTAACACAATTTCTTGAAACGGAATGTTTTAGTTAACAGAAAAAATGCAAATGCATATAAATTACAGCCCTACTTATGAGATTGACTAGTTTGTTGTTTCTGTACGTCTCTGTAAAATAAAATGAAGCAAAAAAATTTGGAAATCGATGAAGTTAAGGGGATTTCTTGCCTTTTGCTACATCATAATATTGTCAAACTGCTGGAAACGTTTACCTACAGCTAACCGTTCCCAGCAGTTTGACAATATGGAAACCATCAATCAGTAGGTTAATGAGCAGGATCGGTAATACCTAATCTCGTGTGTAGCTGCAATTTTCATATTTCCGTACGGAAACCTCTGTACTCTATTGAGCTCTTTGGATAATGTGTAGGTAATATATTTTGGAATAATGCTGTCGCGTAGATTGAGAGTTCAGCTGTTTTCGGTGGTTTCCAGCTTTTTAAAATCGTTGCATGATGTCCAGAACGTGATTCATGAGCAATTTCTCCATGTTAGTACTGTAGAAGAAGTCCATGTGGTTGAAGAATTTCTCTTTGATGATGTGCAGAGACACGACGTTGGGGAGAACTTTTGAGAGTTTAATTACGCCCTGTGAACAGAAATGAATGTGATTAAACCTGGTGACCGAATAAACACTTGCAGATAATTTTCACTTAATCACCCCAAAATCCAAAAGATACTCACGTTAATGGAAGACAGGATGTTTCAGTATAGCTAATGACAAAGAGTAACTAAGTAATAGGTGTCAGATAATTGTTGTTTCCACACTAGTAAAAAAACAATAGACGCCCGATTTACAATTGCATTTGAAGGTGGAATTGATAAATTGATCTTATTTTAAGCTTATCAGATGCCTACTATGACACTTCACTGTGAACACCTCTTGGGCGCTGTGTTTTCTCACATGGTATAAACGAACCGTTCTTGTTATCTTTAAATGGCCTCGGCAAAACATAGGAAGGGAAAGTGTTACTCTGAGAATTCCTTATCTTTTATGTACCAAATTGTTTGCAGGTAATCGTAAAACACGTGTTTATTGAATATCTGCCCCCTTTCTTACATGAACCATTCAAGATAATGACCAATTTTAGTACGATTTTTGATCACTATGAGCACTCTTATTCATGATAGCTGTATGTTTACAGTCGTAGCTGTAATATCAATCGTACTGCGCCTGATATTAATTACTGCGTGCTTAAGCTTATAGCATCCCATGGTTTAAATCTTGCCACACAGTTGACTGTGCGTTTATTTTCATAGCTACACATGTTTTTTATCTTGCCGGACCACTTACTGCGTGTTTATCATACAGATGCTCACTTTAATATCCGGTCATCAGCTGGTGCTCTCAAACAGTGTTGCGACTTTTTCAATAAAAACTCAACCTCTAATATTTTTGAATCTAAACGTTTCATGATATTGAGATAAAATTGTCACTAATAATTTAGGTCATGTCATTATTAGATTTGACAGAATTTTAATTTGGAATATTTTGAACAAACTATGTTTTTGTTAAAGTAACAATATACTTATTATAATTTGTATCGTATGCTGTTTTTCATTTTCTAATGTTTTTCAATATTCCACTGCTTGTGATGAAACGTGTTATCACAAGTCAACAAAAAATTCATTATATATATATATATATATATATATATATATATATATATATAATGTATTTGATATTTACGAAAAATACAATAAAACAGCTTTTAAATGTGGCAGATGACAGTGATATAAGTTTGCGGACTCTCAGTCCGCAGGCGTGTATTCGCGGCACAAACACAGCGCGTGTAAAGGCCCATTCACAATGCAAACATAAACATACGTATGGCGCTAACAAATAAGCTATGTCTTCATTCTTCAACCGGACTCATTCGCAATGCGTTCGCATTAGCATAACACGGAAGATGTTAACTTAAAAGCTTGCAGGCTTCAAGCTTCTGTGCTTCTGCATAAACAAGACATACGAAATGAACCAATCACAGTACGTTAACTCAAAATCGAGAATAGAAATTGGAGCGAAGTCGATAGAAGAATACCTAGTCCGCCATATGCGCTATGGACTCAGTCGATACCTTGAAATCGATTCTCACATCCAACCAATAGTAAACTAGAATGTCTCACAGCCAATAAAACACTTATTTTGCTTGCATGTATCATAAATGTAGTGAATACTTGAGTCTATCACTTATGTTAATGTTTACGTCTATGCACTATGCTGAATGTTTACGTTTGCATTGTAAATGGGCAAACGGACGGTTATTACATCCGGAGGGTTAAAAAAAGAAGTTTGTGCCTTACCTTGGTGGGCACGAGGAAGTCGCCCTCGGAGACGTAGAGGGCGACGGGCGCCGTGACGTTGCGCAGCGGGTAGTCTGGCGGGCGCGGGGAGCCGTAGCGCCGCAGGTTCTCCTTCGCGCCGTGGTCCATCTGGTGGAAGCGGCCTGGGCCGCGCCCCACACCCGTTGCGCAAGCGAACCTCGACCGGCGTGGGGCGGCACTCTCACTCGCGAACGCCACACGGAGCGGAACATGGACTACACGCGCAAGTTTTTTTTCTTTCTTTGACAGCTTTCATTTCACAGCGGGGGTGCAGTGGCTCTGGCTACGTCATGGCTTAAAAGGGAGTACCAACTTTGAACATGAATTCAACTCTCCAAAGCGTGCGTCGAGAAATGCTGCGATTCTTTTGAAAGTATGAGGTGGTTGTTGCCAGCATTGTAAATTGGTACGGGAGAACCTAAGTATTTCAATGTGCCGTGCTATTCAGCTCTGGACGAGAACTAGGGAGCTCGTGTATCAAGAAAAATTGCGAGAGTAATAATGGCTAGTTTGAGTTATTCGCTAAATTTGGGTTATTCAATCCGCAAGAGGGGATTAAACAATTATTTTTTAGACACACTATTAAAAGCAGTTCTACTAGGGCATTCATATCCTAAATGTTAAATTTTTATCACTAGTGCTGAAAGTGAGACGATGCTCAAGTGTTCAGAAGAATTTGTGAATGGAACAAAGAAAACAAAATACTTTCATCTGTCCGTATCAGCTAATAATGACCTTAATTTATTATTAAGTGATTTGTGTACTTGAATAAAAGTAAAATGAAAGTAAATAAGGCTGTCTAAAAATAGTGTATGATTCACGTGGTAAAAGTGATTTTACTTTCCTCGTAGGATTGCACCATTCGGCCTATCGGCCTCGCGTGGCAAATTTTCCTACTGGCACATCAAAGTGTCAATTTTGCTCCTCATGTCATAAATATTTCAAAAATTCCATTTAATCAATATCAATAACTAGTATTTAATCAATAACTAGTATCGGAAATGTTCAATACACCCCGCACAATAAAATGATATATTACAAAATATAGCTTTTACTAATTTTCTATACTAACGAAAGTCATTCTAAATATCAATTGCTAATGATCATCGTAATTTAAAATTCATTTATAAGAAAACATCGCGCTTCTCCCGACTGGTGGGAGATACCTGGTTCAGGGAAAACCCCGCTAGGCGACGGTTGGTCAGCGCCAGATCTCGCCATCGAGAGGGGCTGCCACCCACCCCTCCGTCCCGAGGAAAACATGCACTACACTTATAGGACCAATGACCTTAGAAGTTGACGCGTCCGGAATCGCTACCAACGAACCAACCAACAGGATATTAATGTGAGTGAATAAGAAAGCAAATAATGAATAGTGAGTCAATGTGGTGTACTTAACTACCATATGTCACAGTTTCTTTGTCAATAAATAAATGAATAAATAAATGAAGCAACGGACCTGTGCGCAGAATCTGCGTGTAGTGCCACGGGACCAGAGCAGACGTACTGCTGATCCCCCTCGCAAGTTGCCGGGCCAGCTGTGTCTGCAATGGGAGAGTTGTTGTCCAGATATTACATTAGACGATAATAATCTAAAATGAATTAAAATTAGTTGTGAAACAATCAGATAATTTGGTCGATAGCCAGTTTATAGAAGTGAAGTCGCATGAAACTTTGATTTAAGTAAAATATATTTGTATATTAAGATAGTTCTAAGGTAATAATTTATGAAACAAACGTGTTCATAAATACTCATTAATTGAAACAAAAAGTGTTGTATTAGTGTGGTAATGAGAGAACCTTTGAGGAATGTACCTCTATTCTTATCTCACAAGACAAAGGGAAGCATCATTTGACGACATGCGTCACAGTAATACACTGCCTTTATTTTTACACTGTTTATTTATTATTTTTATTTATTATTTTAGCTGAAGTTTGGTATATTAGTTTCAAATATCATAATGCTTTACGTGAAGAAAGAATATAAAAAGAACAACTCAGGGTCGTATTTTAATCGGAAGTTGTTGCAGGTTCCATTGTCAGATATTTATCTAACAGAATATTACTGAACAGAAGATGGTGGTATTGTGTAATACTCACTGTGTTGTTAAGATCCAATGCACCAACACCCCAGGAGAAAAATACGGCACACATTTTGCTGAAGTAGGAGTCGTCACTGCAGTACTCGTAGTTAAGAGCAATAAAAGCGTCTGTCTTGGGCAGCAGTTCGTATGTTGGAAACAGGTTCAGCGCCACCTGTGAGAGAAGGGAAAGTAATAAAGGCGCTTTGTATCGATGGCCCACAGAACAATTAGAACATGTATACAGTTTTTTCATTACAATGGATGACAATTAAATAAGAAAACACTACGTTTTCGACTAAGACGTTTTTTGCCGATCGTATTTCAATCCCGACTAGATTGCAGATTCCCACAACCAAAGTCCATGTTCATATTAACTATTAATGTCAGACATTCTTTTCAACATAATAAATATAACCGGAACTTCCTCTAAGGCTTCATGATGCCAACAAGGTTTTCTGTTGGGTTCCTGGTCTCGGGAGTAACTGGAAATGAGACAACTGTGCAGGTAGCTAAACTGACCTCGAGGAAGCCAAATATAGGCTTTCTTCCGCCATCCGCGCTCTTTATAAAAAATACCGTTTTCTGCATGTCAACCAGTGTGGCCGAACTCGCATTTTAAAGCCATGAGGATCCAGAACTCCATGAAACCTTGAATTCTTTACCTCATGATGCCAGGAAGTAATTCGAGCACCACTTCGGATCGATTACTGTCACTTCTCTCGCACAGAAACATTATCTTCCCCCAACCTCGAGACTTAGTAACAGGTACCCTTTCAACCCCTTTCTCACATACCACGTTGAAATACCTTAAGACTAAATCATTTGGAGGTGCTCGATTGGTATTAATCTCTGCTGTTTTTTGTCAGTGTGTCAGAGTTGTCACGTTTTCTGTTCTTCAACCAACACCTGAAAGAGCCGAACGGTTGAACGATGTAAAAACAAGCTCACTTTGAAGTTCTTTGTACCATGAAAAAAATCTCTGCAGTGACCTGCTATCGGCGATAGTCAGGACAGCCTCTACCCTGCAGCATCCCCTCATGCACTGCGGATGTAGGTGAAGCCATCGCCTCCCTACTTCTCTAAAAGATATGTTAATAAACGAATCCCCGCGAACTTTTAAACTTTCTACCTGAGATTCAATTTATAATATAATATGAGATTATTATTTCCGCCCTGCCTTTTACCTAATTTTGAAGTGTACATCCAGCAACTTTTGTACCAAAGATCATTTTGTCATCAGTCATCATTAGAAGTACACTCACAGTAAAAACACTGCCCCCAAAAGGGCAGGGTGGATTGCGATAATTGTTGACAGGCAGGTGGGTATATAGATATATAACATACCAACAAAATTATGACATTTTTACTTTTTCACCTTAATTCTTAAGAAGAGAGAGTTTAGTAATCGTGCGCCGGAAATCGACGAATTTTGACAGAAAATACTCTTATTGGTAACGGAAAAGCGGATAAACCTTTTTACTATGTGCAGTAAATTACTTTCTCTAACACGTTTTGATGACAGAATGCACGTTTTGTGGGACCTTGATACCGAAAAATTGATTGACGGCAAAAGTTTGTCTGGCCGTCTGTGGTCAACGCTAGCGCCTAAACCGTTGAGCCGATTTTCTTCAAAATTGATATTCCCCGATCGATCTGAACGACCTCGAGGGTTTTAGGAATTTGAAATAGTATTTTGATTTTTGGGAGTTCTTAAAATAAAGCCTTATTTTTATTTTTTTTCAAAATTATCTCCAAATTCTTTGATTAAAAATTTGTCCATGGATAGCGTAGACAACGCTTAAGAGAATGACGCAAATTCGTTAAAATCCCCGATTTTTCAAAAATTGCAAAAGTTAAAATTTTCTTAGTCTTCCTACTTCTACAATATAGAAGTTAGCGATTTTTTGCTAAACAAAATCTGTTTTCGTGTGTAATTTTGTGTGAAATATAGTCAATATTTTGTGAAAAATTATTTTCTCAAAAATGGATCCAATTTTTTCTGTAATTTTACTTCAGTAGAGCAAAGTTCGGCTATAAAAATGGCGTCAGTCCTATTATCCGCAAAATTTCTGTATTTTCGAAAATTGTGAAAATTAACATTTTAAAAGTTCAATATTGAAGATAGAGGTTTTTGACTTTAAAGAAAAGTCTTCTCAAAAATAAGATCTTTAAAAACGTAAGTTTTTAAGTTTTTAAAGGCTAGCTCTTGGTAGGCGTGCTCGCTTTCCGCTACGCGTCCCGGGTTCCATTCCTGGTCGAGTCAAGACTACAATGTGAGTTTTCCATGCACTGTCCCAGTACACGTCGCTATGTGACGATGAGAAAATTTACTTCTCAGGTTGAGACCGGAATATAGCGTGGGGATGTCTATGTGCTAACCACACGTATCTCTTATCCCTAACCGCGAGGCAGGGACGTCGCCGGTAGGCCTGAGCCCGTTCACGGGCTGTCGTGCCAAGTACATACATACATACATACAGTTCTTAAAACAGTTTGATCAACAAACAAGTTTAAAGCAAAACGTCTGTCGGGATAGCGCTAGCGCCTAAAACCGTTCAGTCGATTTTCTTCAAAACTGTTATTCTCCGATCGATCTAAACAAAGTCCATGCTCTGCGAATTTGAAATGTATATTTTTATTTTTGCGGTACTTGACACGAAGCCTCAACAATATTTTCAAAATTTTCTCAAAAATGGTTCCAAATGTTTACAATAAACTTTATCATCGGATACAGTAAAAACGCTCAAAAATGTGACAAGTCTCTGTTTTGTTGAAATCTCTGGTTGTTCGAAAATCGAAAAATTTAGAAATAAAGGGAGAAAGTATGTACCGTTGCAGCACGACTAATTTAAACAAAATTTGTTGCGTGAAGTCGAAGGCTTCCGCGGCCAGAGTCATGTGGGTGATCTGGGCTGTCCGGGTGACGCCGCGTCGAAGGCTGTGTGCCGACGTTTCGACCATCATGTTGTGGTCTTCCTCAGGGCTGGTATGCGTCGGTATACGTCGGCAACACAGCCTTCGACACGGCGTCACCCGAACAGCGCAGATCACGCACATAATTTGTTGCGGATCACAGAAGTTATAGCTACCTTAGAACAAATCGAGAGGCGACGATTTCTTTACACACTGACACTTCGAACATGTCTTACGTGCAAGTCTCCTGTGATCGTTGCACACACACACACACACACACACACACACACACACTCACACACACACACAGTGGCAAGAGCGGCATAGAGGCGGAAGGGGAGTGGAGCACCTTGATGTAATCTGCGTTGGCGGTGACGATGCGCAGCGGGGCGGAGGCTGCGCCGTGGAAGAAGGCGGACGGCCCGAACGACAGCTGCAGGCGGATCTTGGCGTTGTACTCCGGCCGCAGCCCCAGCGCCACGAAGAACACGGAGTTGCCCATGGAGTGGCCCACGTAGAACAGCTTCTCCTGCCGCGTCGCGTTCAGGATGTAGTCGATGCACGCCGGGATGTCGTACACGCCCATCTCGTGCCAGCTGCCCTCGACAAATTTGTTATCATGCGTTTCTAGTAATATGATCTTGTTGCATTTCCTCTGAGGGAACTGTAACATTACTCACTGCAGTTTCACACATTTGTATTATTTATTTTGACATTAGTGATCGAAATATAAGTAGTAGACAGCATAGATATTTTAAAAGTATTAAATTGAGAAAATTTAATTTACTTATTTGCGAATGAAATGAATAAATGAATGCAAGTCTGTCTTACAAGAACTTTTTTATTGATAATCCGATTATCATGACATTTTCTTTACTGAAAATTCTTAACTTAGTATTATATTCAAGTTCAACATTATACTTTCATCTCAAAATTTCAATAATAAATACTAGATAAAGCCAAAACAAAAATTGAAAACTAATTTTCACCGATTTTTGGCATTCTAAAAAATTCATAAGACTTCAATGCTGAGAAGCATATGTTGACTTTCTTACATTCTCTGTTTTCAATGCTCCGAACATTTTGCATGATATATCGGTATTTCCATGAATTAAGCTATATTATGATAAAATATATTCAAAAGCGTTTACCGACTGTGCTACATTCTACTTTTTAGATGTTTCTTCCTCACGATGGGAATTATCCATTTTATATAAGAGAGAAACAAAAAACTCTTGAACGACGGGTACAACAATTAGCTTGTGTCGGATAAAAATAAATTGTCTATAACATAAACGCAAACTTGCTGTGAAGCTACCGCTTGATAGAAAAAACCCTCGAGGGCGACTGCACAGATAGCTGCGACAGCAACAATTCTCTTCTGGATGGCGACTTTGAATTCCGCATTAAGCATTGATGTTTTCACTTTGTGATTGTGGCGTATGTGATTGTGATAAAAACGAACACTCAAATATCTCCTATCATTTCAAACTTTTGGTCGCCAAAACCACAATGGGAATTGGCGCTAAGGGAAGAGCGCTCTCTCACCTGAACATCCAGAAGCGTGGATCTCGCCGAGTCATGTTTTCGTGCTTCTTGGAGTAGTCGTTGCCGCGGCTGTTGGTCAGCCACACGTCGTACCCGTTGTCTGCAAGCATGAGCGCTAAAACAAAGAAAAAAACGTTGAATATGATAAGATGTATGTCGCAATAACGACAAATATCCGTCAAGAACTCCTAATCCTAGGGAAAGGACGTGCATTCTGAGACATGGGCTCATTATTCCAATTTAGTAACTGTTATTACACGAGTGCCTATTAATAGGAATTTATAATACGCTAGAAATAGTTATTAGGTGGATTTTGAATACCAAAATAATATATTTAATATAAAAAATATCTTATACGTACATATATATTGAGTTATACACGTAGTATACATAACATTTTGTAATGGAGAAATTAGATTTTAAGATTTCATCGGAAATGCTCGTTTTGAAGTCCCCTGAGGCCCCCAAGAAGTCAATAAAAATAAAATTAAAATATTTCAGAATTGTGAATCTAACAAACAAAGGAGGAATGGGTTTTTTTAGATGTAAAATCAAAATGATCAATAAAAAATGCTATCAAAAAGTTCGCAAATAGTATTAACTTATTATCTTTCAAATCTGAAACATATATTTAAAATATTAATAGCTAACTTATTTACTTTTACATTTATTTAATACATAAATAAGTACCTAAATCTCATCATACCTATTTCCAGCCTCTTACAAACTCCTCTCATTAATTGGCGAATGATCTGATAATAATAATAATAATAATTATAGTAATAATAATAATTGATATTCGTGCTTTAGAAAATTCGGATATTTTTTTTTGGATGAGGCCCCAACCCGATTTTGTTCTCGGGAGGGGGAAGGGACGTACCTAAATTTAGCCCTCGCACAGCGCGCGATGCAAGCTAACGACTCCTTCGTTAACCTTCCTTCGGAGAGGTTGTAAAGCCGGCTATCCCGTGTAGTAGATTTACATCACTTCAAGCTGTTCGCAAAGGCTAGCGCCTGCGGGCGCGCGCGCACCTGGGGAGATGCCGGGGCCGCCGACCACCCACTGCTCGGAGCAGCCGAAGACGCCGTGCTGCATGAGCACCGCTGGCCGGACGCCTCCGCCCCCTCCTCCTCCTCCTCCTCCTCCTCCTCCTCCTCCCCCTCCTCCCCGCCCCCTGGGGATGCGGTGCGCCGTGAGCAGGTAGCCGTCCTCTGTTCGCACCGTGTGCGTCTCGAACGGGTACCCCCACCCGCGCACGCGATCTTCCTGCCGTGGAAACACAATTTTTAAAAAAACCATTCACAATGCAAACATAAACATAAGCATAGCGTTAACATAAAAGTTAGGACCACGTCCAGAGGCGGACTCATTCACAATGCGTTCGCATAAGCATAGCGGATATGACGTTAAGTTAAGAGCTTGTAAGCTTCAAGCTTCTGTGCTTATTTTTAAGACATAAACAAACAACCAATCGCAGTACGTTAACTCAAAATCAAAATAGGATCGAAATTGATATACGTACTAACGCCATAAGGGCCATGGATACTTGCCTAACCCTCGATTCTCACATCCAACTAATTGTAAACTAGAATGTCTCACAGCCAATATAAATTATTATTTTGTTTACGTTTATGTTAGCCATTGCGAATACTTCAATCTATCACTTATGGCAATGTTTACGTCTACGCGTTATGCTTATATTTACGTTTGAGAATGGACTTATGTAGAGTGAGACACCAAATCGCATGCGCTATGAATTTTGTGGCTTCGATGGTGTAACGGTTAGCATATCGGACTGTTATTTCCCAGTTTGCTGGTTTAAACCCGATCAAAGATGAAGCGTTTTAAGGACAAATTAATCCTTTGAACGTCTTCATTCGGAGGAATATAAAGCAGACTGTCCCATTTTGTAGATTTACAGTATGTACAAGATCCTCAGGCCTAAAAAAGCCTCTGAGCAACATTTTAGTCGCCCGGGAGATGCCTCCTGTTTCTGCTAGTCACCGAAAGAAGCGTAGCGGAATTTGCGATGTCAGGGGGAAGAACAGATCTGGTGACCTGAGCCCCTCCACGGAAAACAAGGCATTAATTGAGTAGAATGGAATCTATGTTTGAGTCTCTGCACATGCGCGATCTCCTACTAGACTTACTTAACGGAGAACGATTCTGCGCCAAAATCAGCGAGTGTAATCATGTGCCTTCTGTCACGTAATTACATTGGTATTTACACTGTTTCGGGTTGCGTTAACGATCCACCGTCCGCCATGGCATGTCAGATTAACAGGGTGATTTTGAGAAAAGTGTCGTCGCCGATTGACGTCTCATAATTCCCATCCTGCCATCGGACCCTTAAAAGGCGACCCGCGCGAATGCGATTTGGATACCCAGTGAGCGATGTTTTGAAGAGAATTTGTTTAATTTTTTGTTGTCCCTCCACCGCTAGTGAGGATGAGATGATTCCCGACTGATATCACAATGTACCTACGTATTTGACACCGCTTGTGGGGAGTCCAACATCTAGGGGTTACCCAGGTCTTGCGGAATCAGGGAGAGGGGGTAAGCCTCCCTCTCCTACACACCCCCTCACACTCAAAATACTATAGACGTGGTTTCTTTGAGAAAAACCTGGGCGCTGGGTGTTTTTTAATTCATGGCCAGGATTTTTTTACAGTCATTGAAACTGCAATTGTGTATAACCCGGTGGCAGCTAATTTCAGAAATAAGATAACATGGAAGTTATATAATAACAATAATAATAGTAATAATAATAATGATGATAATGATAATAATGATAATAATGATGATAATGATGATAATGATGATAATGATGATAATGATGATAATGATGATGATGATGATAATGATGATGATAATGATAATAATAATAATAATAATAATAATAATAATAATAATAATAATTGACTGATTCTTAGCATTAAATTATCCTAAGAAAAAGAAACTTCTAAAATCTAACTCCGCACTGAATGTTCAATTCAGACCGCGCTGCACTGCACTGCACTGCTCTGCACTTTATTATGACTTACAACACTTCCTTCATTACGAGTATTTCTTTGCTCTGCACTGCACGACACCTCACTTCACAGTATATCTCTCATGCATCGCTCTATTATCTACTATTCGTAGTTAAGTCCCTCCTTTACTTAGTAATTTCCTAAACTGTTCAACGCGTCGAAGAAAGGGTTAAAAGTTATTTTCAGGCAATCTATTCCATTTCGTTATCATTCGATTTGCCGACGAAAATTTCCCGACATCCGTCCTCTGCGGTCTTAACTTTATTTTGTGCCTGTGATCCCCCTTCTAATGTATGTATGAGTACTTAACCGCCGATTAATTTCTTTCCAAGCTTTATTACCACTATAATCTTTATACAAAGCTCAGAGTCTGGCTACTGATCGTCTGTTTTGAATTGAATCCCACCCTTCTATTCTCGTTTCTATAGGTAAATTTAGCTTCCATACGCTGAATACTTTCCAAATTTTTACGTTGCATAATTTTGTGCGAATCTCAACCAATTGTTCCATATTCCATTATCGGACGAACGAGCGATAAATAAGAAATTTTCTTCGCGTTTGCAGAACTCTTGAACTCTTCGCATTACAAAGTGAACAGATCTCCAGGATTTCCCTACTACGAAATATACGTGAGTTTTTTAGCTTAATTTACTGCCGAAATGGATTTATAGGTACTTGCATAAGGAAACTCTGAATTATGTCGTTATTTAAACGGTAATTTGTTACTCTGTAATTATGACCCCTGCCAAAAGTTATAGATTGGCTTTTAAATATAAATGGAGTGAACTTCAATCCAGCCGGCGAAGAAACTGGCAAAGTCCATCTAGTGAACACTACGGCAATGCACTTCACTGATAGTTTATTAAAGATCGTGAGGAGTTTTCAAGCTCCTTCTCCACTTGCACCTCTCTAAAGACTAGCTTGTCACCTTCACTTCAACTCCAAAACACCAGTAGAATGGTGACAGGGTACACCAGAAAGTAGTGCTTTCAAGTATTATCTACCCATTAGCCCGGTCGGGGTTGCTATGTTAATTCGAATTTTACCAGCTTTCCAGGTTGATGTGAGTATTTAGCCACTCGCGAGGGTAGATCAAGCCGTACTCGATTTTCTCTGAGTATGTGTCCAGTACCCAACTCAGGATCAGACCCTGGGGGCACAGAGCACCTACCCATTTCCGCGATGCACTAAGCTGTGATTGGCGCAAAGAATCTCGGTAACTCGTCAGTACTTTCGAATTCCCCGCCAGGTCCTTTGCATTGTGGGACAGAAGTTCCAACAAGCACGCCACCGCAAAGTGGTGGAATTTGGCTCCATAGCTGAACAAAAATTGGAAAATGAAATGTGGCCTAGAGACTTATCTCTTGTTAATTTCCTGGCGGTTGGACTCCAGAAGAACCTAACCGATAGGAAATAGGTCAAGAGTTTTCAATAGGCTAATAAAAATGTCGGATAAGGTCGATGTGCGACCACTGAGAGAAGGGGGCGCGGCAGTCCATTTCTTGGCCTGTGGAGGTACTCGACCTGCTCTGTAGGAGTTATTTGTCATCGCTTGAAGACGTACAAGTGCAAGACGTTCGTACAAAACTGAATAGGTCTGTTAAAAGCTCAACTAGCTAATGGTATTTGAAAGACCGTTACAAAATTATATTATTCATTTTAATGACTTCCAAAATCTCCTTAGACTACTATTGCTGTACAAAATTACGATTTGCCCGTTTCTACTCGCTGTGTGTGGTCTACTGCGAGAATAACATGATGTGGGACAACCTCCCTCCACACGATTCAGTTTGTCGTATAGGCTGGCCGGTCGGCTGGGCATATTGGTAGGTATGTAGTGCTTAGAGGCATGCAGTGCTCACCAGTCCGAGGAAGAGGTCCGGGGCGGCGCGACGCGCGGCCCGCACCACCGCCTTGGCGGGGCGCAGGGTGGGCAGCACGGCCAGCAGCCCCACGGCGAAGCGCCCGTCCTCGTCCTCCGCCGGCCCCGCGCACGCCGCCCCGCACAGCCACAGCCACAGCCACAGCCACGGCCACGGGCGCAGGCGCTCCATCCCAGCGGCGCCGCCAGCTCCTTCGCGCAGAGTCCCCTGGCGCCAACTGGCTTTCTCCTGGCCCCGGCCGCTGTCCCAAGAGGGGCCGCTTGCGTTGGAAGGGGGCGTTGGTTGGGGCTCAGGACACGTGCTCGCGCCGAAGAGAGCGCCTCGCAATCAGGCTTCTTCGCGCTCCTAGACCAGCCACTCGCTATTCACACCAGGACACTCTGCGTCGCTCGCGACACTTCCGTAGCCTGGTAAACATCGCTGCGAGATAATACGCCGTGCGTGTGTTTGTCTCTTAGTGCAACGCACCTAGTCGTATTTTCTCGATGCACGAGTCCTCAATCTGCAACAGCTCATCGCGTTCAGGAGCCAATAAATAGTACACGGTCTCAAAACGTGCCGTGCTGAGCGTGGGCGTAAGCCAGAGTATTGCACCTCTTGGTCCTGTTTAGGGTTGAACTTTTCATGCCTGTTCCCCATTGTACTCTACGCTGACACGCACGCACGCATGCGCAATGGTACAATAAATGTTCATAAGTATGATTATGCCACAGAGGATATTTCTTTAAGAACGTAGATCCGCTCTACGATTTCGTAAAAAAATGAAAATGACATTGTATACGGAAGACAACTATGGAGTGAAATGTTAGTCGACTCTTCACGTTGGTCCTCGTGTTGTAAGACACCTGAAGACCGGTTCCTTTGCAGTTTGTGCCATTTTGCTCCAATACTCAATTAAGTACTGTAATATAAGGATCCATAGGAGAAATGGGATGCATTTAATTATATGAAACCATCCTCCTAAATTACAAAATACTACTAAGTCCAGAAGAACTCGAAAAATCCTCGGTTTTCCACATACGAGAGATGTCACAATGGGGTAGCATTTTCAATGATAATTGTTAAATAGAAATTGATAACGATTAAACGTTATATTCTTGATTGATAACACTACATGTCGGCCTAATACACATATAATTGTCAATGGAAATGTAATATTTTAATAACTGGGCTATTGACATTAATTTTAAAGCTTTCTAAAGGAGATTTTAGAAACAGATAAGATAAAAAAGATTATATATATATATAATATAATATACAATACATTAAATAACACATAAAATAAAATAATACAATTTTTCTGATAGTTTAGTACCTAACTACACAACCGAATCTGTGTAGATGATTTACTGCTTTCTTTGCTGTACTTTTTAAAAGACGTGGTAGCCTCTAAACAAAAACAGTGAAAAAATTGGACTTCATAATGTAAAATAACAAATAAAGAATCTGCTTCACAGACCTGCAAATGCTCTGGGTATGCAAACGAATACCTCTGCGCGTGTACGCAGCACACGTAAGTGCGTAATTACGTTGCGGGAACAGCCAACAATGACTGCTTCACCGCACGTCGTTTGGCCTTGACCCCGTGCAGACACTTCCGCTGCGCCGCATATTGTTCTTCTTTTTTCCTGTCCTAATGAGATTGTGCGTTTCTCGCCTCCCACGTGCGACTGGTGGTGCGATCTGGCCGGTGTTTTGTAACTACTCTCCTGACGACTTTCTCCGCCACTTTCGTAACTGGCCGCTAGAGCCCTGTTGAAAGATTTCGCGCGGCATGCGTTATGCACTGTACGGCAGAGGATAATTATGAGAGAACAAGCTTCAAAATATTAAAAATAATCTTCGAGAACATATTTAATTGACCCAAAATCAGGCCAGTTATGGGAAAGGTACTGACAAGTACACGGAAACTCAATACATGCTCCCACTTTAATCTTGCATCGGTTAAAATATTAATTACGAAAAATAGTTTTCAAATTTTTAATTGTTAACCCATCTAACAGAGTCAAACGTATTTATCAATGCATATTGTGCTCAGTGATAGGTTAGAGTTTAAAAAACTTCCAATTTATTTATATTTTGAAAAAAATTACAAAATCCAGTTGATGTTCAATTTTAGATTTGTATTTGCAAGCTTACAATTTAACTTGACCTAATTTGCAACAAACACTTAACTACGTTTGATGAGGGGACCCACAGAGCTCCTCACTTGTTTTATTCTATATTTGCTGAATATGTTCTATTTTTAATTCGAGTTTGAGTTCTGTATATTTACCCAACGTGAGATTTCTGCCATGGTTGATCAAGTTTGAGTAAAAGTTATTGGCAAGATAAGCAATATGGTAAGCGATTGGTTGGATGTTTAATTCGGTGTGTAGATGATTCTTGAAGATGATCCAGGGTGCTTGGGCGATAGATCTTAAGAATGTTTTTGGGTTGACTTGCAATTTATTTATGTTATATTTGGCAGCATTTGTTCATACTGGGTAGATGTATAGGAGGGGGGGTCTGATGATGAATTTGTATATGATAATGGCATTGTTTAGACAGTTTAGTAGTTTTATTTACAAGCGGTTTCAGTTGAAGAATTTTGATATTGGTTTGCTGAACTTGGGCCAATCTGATCCCAGCATGTTTTGTTTCCAGTTGTTTCTTCTACAATTTTTTTCTCAGACATCTGAGTATCCGTGACATATTTTATTAGTCTTTATTATTACAAAAAGTAATATATTATAACTTTTGCAGTTTATAAATTATGATTTGAACCATTAAAAAAATTAGGGGACACTTATCCATTTATTCCTTTATAGATTTGTAATTATTTTTTTAGTTCCTATTTCTTCCCTTTCGTTTGGGGGAACGTGAAATCGCTGCAAAAAGATTTGTATATCACGATTTTTGTTTAGTATGCGCCCAGTTTTGTTCAAATGAGTACGCTTAGGCGAGGTTACGTTTGAGTTTGATTCATTCACACCACACTGGTTGGAGTTGTGTTACAGTATCACAGAGTCAGGGTAATCTCTGGAACTGATCAATTGATTTCGATGCAGTTTTCACTAAAAGGTAAAGTTTGTTTAAAATTGAATATTTTATGTAGTTTATTACAATATGTTGTAGTTTTATTTATTGTAACGATTAGATATTAGAATTAATTTCTGGAAATATGTTTGAGGAACGTAATTTCTTTAATCTGATGAATCCACATAGAATCGATCATAAGTGTTGTAAATCTGTAACTCTTAAAATTACTAGTTTTATATTATCATCAAAAGTGTATTAAATAATTCCAACTAGTTCATTTATAAAAGTAGTGCATTGTTTTCCAAACAGGAAGAGAATATTAAGTAGCGTCATTTATCAGTGTCCATCTATTACTTTTTCGAGCGTCCATTCAGAAGTCTTTCATCAATTTCAAAACGTGTTTCATGATCAAGTCGTATTCCTTTGGATTAACCAGAAAGTCCAGGTGATTGAACTTCTCATCGATGATGTGTGTTGTGACGACGTTTGGAAGAACTTTGACGAGTCTGCTAATTCCCTGTAAAAACATAATTTGTAATGATACCAGCTATAATTTGGCTTACATATAATCAAACTGAATATTAAAAATATTAAGAGTAATGTATTTTGACCAATTAAAATATTTTTTTTGAATATACATTACGAATATGTTAATATTATGCATTGTAACAAAAAAATAGGCAAAATTTGATTCTAGTCATCCAAATAAATTAAATCTAGAATTTAGCAAATGAGTATAACGATTACAGTTTTTTAAATTTCGATTTTTAATTTTGATCTACAACCATCTTTCTTTCATAATGTGAAAAGGACTTTGGAAACGTCTTTAAATGTTAGTGTTATTTATTTTGTAGTATTGAGGATAAATATATTATTCATAAATATTCCTTATAAATGTGGTTGAAACACGTTACTTCTTACAGAAAACAAATGCCTGATTCTTTTTTTATATACAATTTTACTGAAGTAAATATATAGCCTATTATACAATTTATGGAATAGTGGCAATGATAGTTGAATTTTTATGAGGAAATAGATTGAATTTGATTTACTTTCCATTTACTGAAATAACTTGAAGGCCCAATTTTAAAAAGATTGTGATGTTTTTGTAAAGAAAGTATAGTAATTACATTGACGCAAGAATACTATCAGAAAATATTTTTGATAATTTTGATTTTCTGACGTCTTTTTTAAGGACTAAGAACTAGATTTATGTTGGTAGGGCATACAAAATAAGAGAAAAATTTCCCCTTGGCAACATTTGACGCTTTAGTGTACCTTCCAGGTTATAAATTATAGATTTTACCCTCATCTTTATCTCCAACTTCATCATCATTGTCTATATCTTATGGTTAAAGTATGAATATGGATAATATCCTAATAAGCTAGTTAATGTTCACATTATTCAGAATGG